TTTGTACAACTTAATTACTACATTAACTTTTATATTTCGTCTACATGCAGCCTTTAATTCATTTCGGGTACTAGCAAAAATGTTTAATACATGAGTCTTTAAAGATATAGTATGTATACACTATACACATTGACATTAACGAATTCACGAAAGAGAATTGAAAAAAAAAATAAAATATTGAGACGGTTCAGTTGACAAAAGAAAATATATTATTGTTCTACATTACTCATTACAATAATAAAAAAGGATCTGTTAAAAAAAATATTTTTGTATATAGTATTTATTGTATATAGTGCTCTGTTAAATAGATGCAAGGGTCTTGGCCATTGTTATTTGCGTGCGTGTTGCATATTATTTTGAATTTATTTGTGGCAATTTTATTCTTAAATTTAATTTACTTAGTATACCTACTTTAATTTAAAATAAATAAAAAATATGATTAATGATACCTTATCAGAATTTTATAAAACAAATAATTATGTTACATTTATCGTATAAAATTTATAGAAATTAGAATTAAATAAACATAAAGTTGAAGAAATTAGTACTTTTTAACTTGACGGCAAATTATTTGTCGATCCAAAGAAGAACAAAAATAAATAAAATAAAAAAATATTGAGTACACTGTTAACACACGTAAATGAACTAACAAATAAACACCTTATATACACAAACAAATAAATGCTTGGTCTGGAGTATTATTATTATTATTATTATTATATTTTTAATGTACGACTGGTTTCGAATTAAAAATGTATTATAGGGTGTACATATTTTAATAATTTACTAAATATTTATGCATTTGATTAAATTAATGAATATAATTATAATCGTGAATACTTCGTAACAGGGACGTCATTTTTTGGGTGTATGGGGACAATGTGCAACGGCACTACTAACTTCGTAGTGTTAATAATTGGCCCTCCATTAATGTTCCTATGCACCGTTATAGTAAACTCATATACATACAATAGAACCCGTAGATGTCCACTAATTAAAATTTTAAAATATTAATGTGATAATTTGTCTGAATAGTAGAGTTCAATTTTCGGAAATAAAGTGAATTATTTTATAGTACATTTACTTTTTTTCTACAAAAAGTAATGAAATAGTTTCAGATAGTTTCTATAGTTGCTTATAAGCTTTTAATATATTGCATTTTTAGCTATTTAAAAAGTACTATGTAATTTTAATTAGGATTATAATAGAGAAGGAAATAATATTTACTTATATTTATTTAACATAAATATATACACATTTTTTTTAACAACCTGGTTAAATGTTAAAATTGCTTAAATTCTCACACACCCAGTGAAAAAAACTGAAATAACGTCCCTGCTTCGTAAGTCGACATAACACGAAAACATATTTTATCATATTATTTACAAATTCCATGTAAACTAATTATCCCAGGCGTATAAACTAATAACTGTCTCTTTCTATTTTACCTTTAGTTCATATATTATAATTACTACATAATGAACGCATATCACATGTGTCATTTGTCAACGGAGGTATTCAGAAATTTGAATTTCGTGACACAACTAGCTTCGGCTCATTCATTGCACGCCCGTTACCTATTTACATAACTGTCTATGCAACCAATAATATATTAGGGTCTGAATTTTTTGCACGCAGTATTTCCAAATATAAAAATATTCGAAATAAACACCAACTGATAATATATAACATGTCTTTCATTACAACGCTATATAAACTAAACATTTAATGCTATTAAAATTTACCGATGTACAATTAAAAATAATAAATGTTACCTTTAGTATTCAAATTATTTAAACTGCTAGAATAATAAATGTTTAAAAAAAAAAAAAAAAAAACTAAATTCCATGAAGATAGTGTTTATTTGATATCAAAATTTCATAATAATACGTACATTTTTTTTTCAAAACTATGAGACGTAGATACTTAGCATTCTTAATATGTATATTTATATATATTTATAAAAGTATATTTTAAATTATATTTATTTGGAAATTAAATAAATCCTCAATAAAATATTAATATGTAGTGACTTAAATCGAAACGTATTATGGGTTATATTGAAACTATGCTCTGTTGAAAACGTAAATTTTTCTTTGTTTAAGTGTATTTATTTATTTAGAATATACGGGCGAAGCTCTTTTATATAATTAATTTACGAGTAAAATACAGGTATATTTGTAAGAATTATAAAAAATATTAGAGATTAAAAAAGATAACGGATATGTTAAAAAATGAAAGTGGAGCAGTAAAATAAGAATGGTAGAATCCATAATGGATTTTGATTTCAAATGTACTTTAGGCTCATTAGACATATAATTTTTGGTACACAATAGAATATTAAAAGGTATAATGGACCGAGAACAGTATTGGAGGACTTTTAAATGTATATGGGAGAGTAAGATCGAAGCGTCAATTTCACGTTTATCACTTCATTCAAAAGTTAGGACCCATATGATGTACTGTCCGCTAAATAAGCTAAATCAAGTTGATTGGCAATTTGAGCGTAGTGATGCACAGTAAATAGGTACCCAAAAAGTAGGTGATGAATCGCAATTCATTTATTACTTTCAAGCTAGCAATCATTAGTAGTATAGAGCAGTATAAAGATCTTATTATGGCACTCTATTCAAATATTGGCTGGACTAAAGTGTAGTATAAAACTTTGATTGTAGAATTTAAGCATGAAATCTTTTGTTAAGTTCAAGGATTTATATTAACGAATCACACCAGTAAATTACAATGTTACTTGGCACGCTCTTGATTTTTATAAACATTTAATTAAATGTGTTCCATGAGAAACAAAATATGAATTTAATAATAAATAATAATAGTAATAATACTCATTATTATTTTAACCTACTTTTCTAGAATTTTCAAAGAAAAAAAAATTAAAACCTATATTTTGTTCACAACAATAAAATTGGCAAAATTGCGTGTTTATGAAAATAAGGTTTTACTTGGTTTGTTTTTTAAAACAATTCTTTTTATTGTTACAAAATATTGTAATGCGTTATTTATTATTTCATTATAGATAATTTAAATATAGGTACTCCAACTTTACCAGAAATGACTTATGAAAAATATGAAACTGAAAAATGTAATTTCAAACAATTGAATTGGGTTTTGTTTGCATGCGAGGTGGTGAATTAAACGATAATTATTGTTTCGTGCTAAAACGGGTTAAATGGTTGTTAGATTTCATACCTGTGATTTATACTGACGTCATGAACTTTATTAGTTCTTTTGTTTAAATTAAATAATTTACTGTTGAATAAAAATCAATAACAAAACGTGGTGATGATTGAATACATAATTATTTACTTATGTACTTAAAATACTATAATATTATGATACGATGGTTTAATTAATAACGAATAATATTAAAATATGAACTTAACCTCATGAAAAAAAGTCAGTCACCAAAATATTGTTCTTGTGTTTAACTATTTTTTGTTTCTTGAAAGTTATTCTATAATTAAATTGTGATTATGAATTAGCAAATATTGAGTAAATTTATTGATTTTAAATTTTTAGATATTTTACATATGATGTATTTTAAGAGTAACGTGAGGGCCATAATTAAAATGACTGCACACAGTATGATGATATATTATATGATTTTATAGGAATATCAAATTGTAATGTACTAAATTTCAAAAAAGCCCTCATAATCATGATTGCTGATTCAACGTTTGTTTTGTCCTATACACGCAATCTATTCCATACGATTAAATTTATTTCATTAGATTGTGGTGCACATTTTATTTGATTATCAAAACGATTGTTTTTAAAGGTGTTTAAAAACTAACCCTTAATATTATGAACAAAACGCGTAGGATCGCATTATATACACAACCTAAGATAGAGAATATTAGAAAGGTTAAGTTTGTATACAATTTATATTATTTAATCGCGTGTAATGTTTACATCTACGTATATTTTTAATCGGTTTATAAAAGTTTCATTGTTCTCAATATCAATTCCATATTGTACCAAAAAACATACACACACACATCAAGCAGTGTATTTAAGTATAATATGTACACAAATAGTCGCCCCATAGAGGTGTGATAATATCGTAAATTGTTCGTGTGCGCATATTATCAAATGACGTAAAAATAAACCACGAAAACGTACGTCTCGCGAAAAAAGTAAAATCGATATAATAATTTGAATGCACGTCCCCGTATGCGTGCACACGGATGGTCTACGAAAGGAATATGTTAATATTGTTTTATACCGTGGGTACGTGTGTGCGCGCGTGTTCGCGTAATCGACGAATACGTGCGCGAATATTTTCGATTGCCGACACATTTTTCATTCTCGTATCTCGCGGGCAAGGGCGTGGGGAAAATCGTCAAATTCTGACCGCGTTCGTCACACGCGCCCGAGTGGCGGACGCTAAGCGCAATCGATTAAAAATGATAAACAACGTACCGGTGATCACGGTGGATGGGAGGGAAGGGGCGCGAATGTGTTCGATCGTCGAAACGATTTTTCGTCCTTATTATTTTCGCGTCTCGGAGGGCGAGGGAGAGAATTTGGTGAATTCTGACCGTGCTCGTTACGCGCTCGTCGAACGGACGCACGCGCGCGCCACGGGTCGGCACGGTCGACAGAGATATATGCGCGTCGGCGGCGACGGGATGCGAGCGAGTCTCTCGGAAAGTGCATAGGACATGTATAGGCGCGCGCGCGCTCGCGGGGCGATGAAGATAATGATGGGAAAGCGAGCGGACGAAGAGAGCGGAAGAGAGTGTAGCGAGAAGAGAAGTAGACCGTGGACGCGCGTGCGTCGGTGTCCGTTTGCCGGAGCGTTGGTGTGTGTGCGGAAGCGGGCGCGCGCGCACTTCCCAAAGCGTGTGTAAGTAAGTGTCTGCTATTGATTTTCCGGTCGGTGACGGGCGAGCGACGGGTGGGGGGACTTTGGCGCCGGCGCCCGGGCATGGTGTGCCGCCGCCGCCGCCGCCGCCGCCGCGCGAACGTCGTGCGTACAACCGATGAACGTTACCGAAAGCTCGTGCGTCGACCAGCGAATATATCCGTTGCGGGCGCGGTGGTGCCGACCATGGAACGACTGGAGGAGAACAACACCGTCGTCGTCGTAATACTGTAATCGACGCGCGGCCGCCGTCGTCACATACACCACACACACACACACACACACACACACACACACACACACGCGATGCGATAATATTATTACCGCGTCCCCGTTCGCTATTTACTGCCGTCGGTTCTGTCGTTTCCGGTGTTCGGGGCCCCAACAGCGTATATACATATATATATAAGTACACGGTAACAGTAATAATAATAATAATAATAATAATAATAATAGCGTTAATCAGTTTTCGCGATACGTAATACATAATAATTATTATTAGTATACAACAATAATAATAATAATAATAGCGAGCTAGTGTTGGGCGAGTGCGTGCGCGCGTTCGCGGTATGTGCGCGATTCCAGTGACGGTCGGTCGACGGCGATCGTAGTCGGTGGTCGGATAAAATTCATCGTTAGGGAGGATAACAACCGTTCGCAACGACGGCGGCGGCGGCGGC